GTCCAATCATTGTCCAATGTCCATGCTACATTGTGGTTTTTGAACTTTTACTCGCTTGTTTCGGCTAAATCTCGAGTTTAAAATTAAAGGACTTTAGGAACAATAACCACTTTGTCTAACAACTTGCTAACATGAAATTGAATAAAGAAGCAGCTTAAGCGGATCGAAAAAATATCTTTTTAAAGACAGCTTCAAGACTATTGCATTTGCACTTCAGTTTGCGTGCTTAGTAAGCAGCCACTCTTGATTACTAACAATACGATGATTGAGACGCGGCATAACTATATATAATCTCTGCCGAAATTGCAAGCAGTAAATCTAAAGTCAACAATGAAAAGTAAAACAGTGCCGTTGGCAGCCGAGTTCAGAATGTGTTAAGAATGGTTTAAATATTTCAGGAACTAAGGAACTGGAAGTCTGTCATCAGTGTAGCGAAACTGTGAAAGGTGTTGAACTAGAATCTGGGTCTTTCTCATGGGTAATTAGAAGTTTGTTGCAATTTGGAATCCTTGCCAGTGCATTTTTCAAACGAGATATTTAAAAAAGTTAAAATTTAATATGTGTCAACGACTTGACTTGGCTCCAGTCTCCAAGGAACTTTACTTGTTGAGGAAACAATTAATACTAATAGGTAGTACCTCAGTACGTCAAATATTGAAAATTACTTTTATTTAAAATGACTTTTCAACCTGGTTGAAATTATCGATTATATTAGACTAAGAGGTGACCGGCCGGACGGAGTGTTGCAAATACAATGTGGCCAAAACCTAAAAATCTAAAAAGTGGAACTAAAACTAACATTTACCAAATACCACGAACCTAAATAAAAGCGTGCCATACTTTTAGTGTTCAGTGGTGGCCGGCCAGATAAGATGTGCGAAGTGTGCGGAACGTAACTGCAAGCGGAAAGTTTCGACCGTGAATATAGAAATAATCTATCAACGTGTCACTTGACTATTCAATTGTTTCAACCCGGTCGACTGAACGGTCGAAAGTTTGGTCAATTTAGTCTCCATTCAAGCTCTCCTGAATCATTTAAGTGAATAGTTTATTAAACGGATGTTACCGGCCTGCAACTCGGGATAGTGTCAGAAGTAGGTTATAAACCTAATAACCTTTAACATCTGCTGATCGGACTTCGGAGGCGGACGAAATTGTAGATCTTTAGCGGGTATTTTTTAAAACGAAAAACTCTTGTAGCTCTTCGCATGCACCTCGTCCGCCGGCTCGGCTACGATTATTATACTCACATGTGAAATGATGGGACGCCGGACGGGCAACGTCCGACAAAAAAAATCTGGGTGGCCAGAGAACTAGAAGAAGACCATGGACCAACTCATCAATAATTTAACTTTTCAAACTTGAAGACAATCGGATTTCTTATGTCTTTATTCTTCAAATGTTTCGGCCGACTGAGTACATGCCGCAATCGCAGTTTTACTTTTGTCGACTTATTCCATATTGTACCAATATGGCAACATAACAATCAACAATACAATGGCAATATAATACTTCGTTGGAAATTTTGGCAGAATTAACGAAAAAGTCTCATTTATTTCAACTCTTTGACAATGAATTTGAGTTGGTTTTATTTGTACTCTTAAAAGTAGCTGGAAATCCGGACGTTCGGGTGGTTTCGAAAATTCGGACACGCCCGGACAGGGGGAGGTGGGTGGTATGAAAATCTGCGATTTTGGCAGACGTTCTAAGTAGATGGTCCCTACTATTTAATTTGTATGGCATCGCATGCGCAATGATATTCATTGCGCATCACGGCTGTTCTAGCGTGGATTTTAATCCGATAGGATTTCGCCATTCTTAGTTCAAATTGGACGACGTTCGCTGTCCTAGGTTGATCCGATCGCATTTCAGATCGTCGTCCGATCGCTCCTGAGAGCTAGGCGCTCGGATTTTATTTTTGAGAGGCGATAGGATAGGATTTATGTTTCCGAGAGATGTGCTCTCGGATTCATCACTTGAAGAATACTATACAAGGTATTAGTAGAGGCTCTTACGGGCAAAAAGACGTGTTTTCTGCTACGAGTTTAGAGACCTAACCGCTAATTGGACACAATAGTATGATGTCTAAGGATCGACAATCTGTTAAGAAGTATAAATTTGGCCTTATTAGTCACGTGCTATACCAATGCGCGTTTTAAACTTTGACAGTCTATTACTCTAAGGCAAATAGAGTAATTATATTCATATTTTGTCAGCAATAAGATCACATTATTTTCTATTTGGTGTGAAAATATGAGCTAGAACGGACATAATCTCGCTGAGTTATAGCTGTTTGAAATTTATGATGAACGCGCAGGTGCCAATTGATAACAACTAAATGCTTTTGCGCGTAGTGCGCGTCGAAAATTTGGCAAAAACGCTTGCGGAGTGACAATATTCAAACTTCTATAAAGTAGATGAAGTGGGTACTTCTCGGAAAGGAAACATTTAGGCAAACACGATGTGACTATTTTTGGGTTGATTTAATACAACTGCAGAAAATTATTCAAACTTCAAGCAAACAATTCAAAATTTTTATCACTTTTTGGGGTTTTTACCTGCACTAAAATAGAGGGATTTTTTTTATTTTTATACCATCTTGTGCGGCTGTCTTTTAGCTACCTTCACGCAAATTTTGCCGACATGCCAACTAAATTAACTTGCTCAAATTATCAAAAAACATGCTTTTTTGGCCAATTTTTGGCCCCAAAATCGGTTTTTTTCAATTTTAACGGCACTAACTCAGTCCAATCATTTTGAAACCACTTTTAATCGATTCTACGGTCAAAAATACGTCTAGGAAGGTGTATTTGGGGTCCCTAGCGTATCGAGCAGACAATGCCCGTAAGAGCCTCTACTATACCCTGAAGATAACTTGAACTTGAAGAGTACTACAAGGTATCCGGAAGTTAACTTGAAGAGTACTACAAGGTATCCTGGAGTTAACAGTTAACTTAACTTGAAGAATACTACTTGAAGAATACTACTTGAAGAATACTACAAGGTATCCTGAAGTTAACTTGAAGAGTACTATCAACTATAAGGTATCCTGAAGTTAACTTGAAGAGTACCACAAGGTATCCTGAAGTTAACTTGAAGAGTACTACATGTTATCCTGAAGTTAACTTGAAGAGTACTACATGTTATCCTGAAGTTAACTTGAAGAGTACTACAATGTACCCTGAAGTTAACTTGAAGAGTACTACAATGTATCCTGAAGTTAGCTCGAAGAGTACTACAAGGTATCCTGAAGTTAACTCTTAAAGTTAAAGAGAACTACAAGTTAGCTTAAAGTTATCATTTCTCTACTTAATTTAACCTAAACAACCTCCATGTTGTTGTTGTAGCCTGCAGGCAACCGTGGATCAACTTAAGATAAAGCCATGATCTGATTCTGAAGTTAACTGACAGAAAGCATGAAGTTTCAACCTACAGTTAGATAGGCGTCGTCTTCCAATTATTGCGGTCCTGATATTTGAAATTGTATCGCCTCTCGGATTTGCTCTCGGATCCTATAGGATTTGAGTATCCTATCGGGTCCGAGAGCAAATCCTATCGGCACTCGGAATTGTTAAATCCTATCTCCGCTAGGATTAGCGCTCGGATCCGATAGGTTTTTAATTTCCTATCGGGTCCGAGAGCAAATCCTATCGCCTCTCGGAACTTACACATCCTATCGCCGCTCGGCGATAGGAACTCATCGGAGGTATCCTAGGGGAACTTGTCATACGTTGTATACAAGTTTACATGAAACTGATACAATTGTACATGACATTAGGTGAACTGCATATCACTGAGGAATCAAAAATTGAATGGCTTACCTTTTGACGGATGTTACTCGTCTAAATTTCTTCGAAGTAGCGCGCGCGGCGCCGCTTTCTTCTCGAAATGGCAAGAGCTACGAATGGCAAGAGCTACGAAGTAGCGCGCGCCGGGTCAGATCATTAACAATGGTCAACTTACCTTCAGCTTAACTATGAAGGTAAAATTATAAATGCCTGCCGATGCACTACTGGGTCGCGCGCGCATCAAATAATGCTTCTCGCAACCACAGTAGTGTGCAAACCAACATTCGAACCACCAGCAGCTGGTGGTCAATTTCCTACGAACGCGACTTAATTTTGGTTCAGACTGGAGTCGAGCGCTACGTTATAGCTGTATATATAGCTCGTTTCACGACGAAATCTTCACTTATTGAGTTTGTCTGTCGATTATGTTGGAGTTTGTATTTTTAATTTTGTACTCGAATACTGTTAATTTATTTTTATTAAATAGTTGTTTTTCGTAACAGCACACTAGTACGTGATTCCTTTTGTTATTCTTACATAATTAGGAAGATTTTAAACTTCAATACTATAAATAATCAAATATTTACGAACACCGATCATCGGTATGTACCCATTATGCATTATTGGTATCGAAGTCTTATGTTGAGCTGGATATCGAAAAATTTCAAAATGTAAGGCTGTAATTTTGTACTTGTTTAGGTGTAGAACTAGGATTAACAACTTGATTGCTAGGAGCTAGGAAGAGATTTTAGTAATGATGACCCTTTAAACTTAAACTATATCTCTAGTGCACTTCGATCGGTTTTCTTTTCAATTTTGATAAAACCTAGTCGTGATCTTTGTTTCAGAACTTCACTAATTTATTAAGTTTTGTAGTTTATATAGACGGAACATGAGCAGATACCATTTGATTAATTATAATATATCCGATTTGAAATATTATTCTGTCGGAGTTTGAGTTCAACATGGACACATTTATTAACATCCCGCATGAATTTGTGTCGTCTGTACAATTTTTTGCGCTGAATTTGTATGCTTATTAATACTGCCGCATGATATCAGTAGCTGCTATAAAACTAGAGTGTATAGCATGTGTATTATACGATGTTTCCCACGTAAAAATCGCAGGTTGTTTTGGTGCGGCTGGGCACTCTACTGGTGATTGACACCAGAGACTGAGAAAAACTTTGACATAATTTTCAAGTTTGATATGACCTAATAACTACCACATTTACAGGAAGTATGGTAATACATTCTTGTCAGCTGTCTGGGCAAATCTTCTCTCGCAGAATTGGATTAAAATTTAATGTATTTTATTTCTCACTTCCAACGATGTCGCAATTATTAGGTAAAATTTGAAGTTATTTTGAGATTCAATTAATAAATTTTAGATTGCAGCTTGATATCACTTAGTATGTACATTGTACTCGGTTGCAAGGGTAGAACTTATGAGAATACTATCATAGTATTATTGCACTATACTATTATGGGTTCATCAAAGTTCGTATCATGATTTGTCACAATTAAACCATCGAGTCACTTGAGGAAACCCGTTAAAGCTCGCAATTGGCGACGAGATAAAGTTTGTGGTACCTCTAGATGTTAAGTTAACTCTTAGGCTCCAATCTTCCTTACTATACCTACCACTCCTTCTTCCTTGATAAGAAGTAGATCCATCTGGAACAGTGAGCTGCTTCTTCCCTTCTATCCCGTACTAGCCTACTCAGCTCTCTCCAAACCGTGAACAACTACTCCCGGTGCTAGAACGTTAACCGCATAATTATAACAGCACAATTCTTTCGCTTGAATCTCAGTCTGCTGTAAGACTGCTGTACCGGTAGAGTTTTTACTTGTATGATTCAGCAATCTGCTCTTTAGATGGTACCGTTACCTCCCGCCATAAGACTGTGCCGTCTTGGTGACCTTGAGAATATCATAAGGTCCGATATATAAAAGCACTATCCAATATCGAGACACACTCAGGATCCCAAACCACGACTCCTTTCGGTCGTCTGTACTTGCTTTTTTCCTCCCAGCATGGACTAAGTCAATGATACTGTCTTACATCGCTGGCCTTGTTCTTATAAGTGTTCACTCGGCGCTCACAAGATAACATGTTCAGAGATCTGTTGCAGAACCTTGTCGTGCCGTCATTTATATACTCCTTGACTAAGAGCTACTTTAAACCTACAGCAAAAATGTGCTAAATGATACCCATCCTCTCCTCACATTACTGTACTTGCACTTACCATCCTCATCTTCGCCATAGAGGTGGTTAAGAGGGTGACGTACACAGCATCTAGCACGAATCCAATAAGTGAGTCTACAGTGCGTGTCGAAATACATTGCATGTACCCTTATATATTAATTGAGACAGAATTTTAATAAATCAACAAATTCTTAAAATTTAAAAAGGTAGAATTTAATTCTATGGCATTTATTGAAACCTGCTTTTTTAAAGTTGAGAATTGGTTTCAATTTCTAGAATATCACGATAATGTTGACTCAAAACTGTTTCAGGCAGCTATCAAGTCTCAAGATATGACATAATTTGATAGAATGTTAGTACCAACGCTATCAGTGCATTGAAGTCGAGTTCTCGATACAGGTATTATAATTAGGTTCTATCGACCGTTTTTGTAGTCTTAACTCATTTTTATTTGTTATTATACGACCAATTAAAACCTAGCAAACCAGACTTCTTTATGTGCTAAATGTTACTTTAACCTTAATAATAGCAGCATTGTGGCAGATATCCAGTTACATTTTTTCCAGCCGTATATTATAAATATACAGGGTGGGCCAAAAGTCAGTGTGCAAACGTTGGCATTAATAGCTCAGTCACTGAGTGCCCAATTGAAATAATTGGTTCTGGTATGACTTACTACCACCACTGGTTCGAGAAATTTGTCAAATCGAAACATATTTGTGTTCATTGTTTTCAAAAGAAGGTTCATTTTCGCATTTATTTGATAGTTTGGATAATCGGATCGAGCCAAATTTTATTGAATTGTGTTTAGCCATTTAAATTACGTTTGCTCTAAAAAAATGAGAGTATATATATATTACTCATGCAACTAAGATAAATTGAGTATAAATACTCAATTTATCTTAGTTTAAGTTGCAAGTTATATAACTCATTTTCTAAAGGTCTCGTAAACTTTAATCAATTACAGAGAGTGTGGCCTCTTTTTCACTGAAAAGACGCCATCAGATTTCATTGCATTCTGGGACCAATTTTGGTGTGATTTAAAGTATCCTACAAATTGGTGTTTACTGTTTCGACTTTTGTAAAATCACTGTATCAATATAATCTGTATTCTTATAGTTTCAACCATAATAGTGAAATAGAGGGGCTGGCCAATAGCCACACCCTCTGTAATTGATTTAAGTCTACGAAACTTTCAGAAATTTGTGTGTAATTCGGAGATAAATTAAACAAGTTGTTATCGGCCACCATGTGTAAACGGAATGTTATAGCAGACTGTATAATACTATAACATACATTTTCTTACACACACATAATCTAATCTCTGGAATGTTGCTATGATATCAATGGCAATGTTTTGATACTGTGTATTATCATGATTATGCCTTACAGGCCGATCTTCCGATGGAGTTTCGGTTGCCATGGCAACACATCAATATGATAAAGAATTTGTAAACGCAGTCACAACTCTGTCGTGTACACTGTACGGTGCGAGCGGTTATTTTATGATAGGTAACATCTACTTTTTCAGCATTTGCGGGATGACCAGTTCACACGTATATTTTCGCAGACACAACTTCGCATAAAATTATATCCAATTATTCTATAACCAATTATCTACACGGACTTCTGTCTAAATATGAATGAAATCGAGAAAACCAAATATTATATGTTTCATCCTGAAGTGCTGAGTTCTCAGGCAGTATAATCATGATCCTGATAGATATCGAAGTCTCCTTAAATGATTGTCTCTGCTGCTTAATATATCTGGATTGTCGTTGGGAGGCGATGCAGATTTGTTTACTTTTAAGGGGGAGGTTCTGCTCAGCAGGAGAAAGAGGTGATGCACATTTTGTATTTGTCTGACATGTAGGACTTGAGCCACGTTTCCGTAAGTGCAATAAACGGTAACGAGTGGTTTTTGGATTTCTCCTGAATAAGAGCTGAGATTTTTGGCACTTCCCATATACTCGCACTTGATGCACTAGGATTCATGGACTGGACATTTAAGACGAGGCATGAGGAATAACGGGCACGTGCAGTGTATCCTCTGAGGCGGTAGGAACTGCTGGTAGTGGTATAGTGGGAGCGCTGTTCCTGGCTGAAGAGGTGGATGTGGTCTGGGGTAGTGGTAGGGCATTTGAGTTTGAGGGAGGCTGGACCGGTGGTCGACTATTTCTGATAGGAGTCCGATCCTGGTTTGCATCGTTTCCAACAGTCTCCGTAACTATAACAATCCTGTGATCTGGTATTGGTTACTTAAACTTATTTAATTGAACATGGTGTTTGACGTTGGAGCTTATCACTTTACAGTTTACATCACCTTACCTGAATAATTGAATAGGATGAATACTGAATAGCATTTATTAATGCTTTCTTTACCCAGAGAACTCTGTTTTACTTGTCCCTCGGTAACACAAGACCGTGAGCCGTGACACTTAGTCACAATAATTAAGTCATAAGTCAGAAAGAAGTCCATAATTCGTACACCCATGATTATGTTAAATATAGATTGACTCCAGTCTCCATTGTTCAATGACTTCGTCAAAATGTTTTAGGAAAATGTTCACAGATTTGTTAATTTTGGACTCAAATTAACGTTGAGAAAAACTGAATTTATTTTGAAAAATCCCGGCTAAAACCAAAATCCCGGCCGGTACCGGTAAAAAATCGCCAAATACCAGCCGGTATTCCGGCTGCGCCGGTTATATCCCGGTCGAGTTCTGTCTGAGACCTAATTTTCTCTATTTCTCGTGCAATTTTAGATCAGACACAGTCATCTAAATTATTTAATAAGAAGGTTTAAATTATAAGCAATTAAAAACAGTTGGGACTATCATTGTTTGTGAGTACATATTATACGAATATAAGGTGGTTAATATAATTATAACACATTTAATATAAAACATTTAAGACACATTTTTTTATTCCTGCATTGTACTCATTAATTTAACTAGTAATATTATATAAAAACCACATTTCTATTTGTACAGGGAGCTGCTGGTAAACTACCGTCGCTATACATCGACTATGACTACAATCCTACTTTTAAAAACAAACTACATACATATCTCACATTTGCGAGGACTACTTCATCACAAGCAAAAAATCGACATTGGTAAATAAAGGTAGGTTCTTTTCACTGACTTCGTTAAATGAGTTACATATTTTCACACAAATTACGTGCGTGATCATTAAAGGGTTGCTTGTGTGCAGTTACTTCTGGGCCAGCGCCACCCTGTTGGGAGTTTTCGCATAAGTAAATTTGCCGATAATACAATTTTACTCATTCTGGACATGTTACCTATATTATCATTATACTAGTATTTCTTCAGGTCTGTCTTCTATAACCACGATGAAAAGAAAAGCTGGGCGAAAACATTTGAGACTGCAGATTGCAGAACTGGAACACTCTATTTGAAGACAGTGGCTGCTGAGTGCTGAGCTGCATCAAATCTATCAGCATCATGTAACTTCGATCAGGAACAGACTCCATTTCATTTCCGACAACTAGCACCTGTTTTCCCTAGACTTACCAAGTATTAAGTAACTGCATTAGTATTAGGTTAAATTAAAGGCCCTACATCGAACAAGTCTAACAATTAAAACTTAAATGCAAGAGTGCACAATTTATCACTAAATATCTTCCTCTTTTAATTCTAATCAACACACGGTTTCGTCTTTGTTTCACCCAATCGTGCTGATAATCAGTAATCATGCACTCTGCACTCTAACTTCGAGATGTTTCAAAAGGGCTCCCGACGAGTTGAATTAGATCAATATTTTCTTTTGATACATAGATACTGATTGGGAGGTTCATCATACTATTCTTGTCACATGGTAACGATTAACGATTAGCTGATCAGCTTCCAGCATCGACAGGCCGAAATCCATAAATATAATCAGTTGTAATTTAATATTTATCATCGTCCGGATCATCATAATATTTCAATTTAAAGTTACAATTGAACGGTGTTAAGAAAGATAATTTAAGAGAAATGTTTTGAAAGTGCCTGATTTCGAGTATAAGATCTGTACTGATACATTAATTTTCAGATTGTTATTATAGTTTATTTGTATTTTTTATATTATCTTATCCGCACAAGTTCGGAAGCCATCTGAACGCTATTGCCAGACACAGGCATATATTTATTTTGGGGTATCATGCTCTCAGAAATTTCAACTCAGTCCGATATTATAGTTATACTAACCTGCATTGCATAAGGTTAATTGTCTCGCAGTCTAGTGCATAAACCTTTTATTTTGTATAAACCCTTTATTTTGATTGGGAAAACTTTAGTTTAATGTGGTTACCGTCTCTAAAGTTGGCATGATAGTTAATAAACTCTTATCTATTATGTCACTGAAGATGACGCCTTGCAACATGTTTGACGATAGCCTGTAGATTGATAGTTTGATCTAAGTATTTACAACAATTCATCTAGTTTGATTGATTCAAAGGGAAACAAATTCCTCTCTTATCTATTATGACTATATTTAAATTCAATCCTGTAAAGTGATACTCCTTTTTTAGTAATTTAAACATGTGTTTTCTCCTTCTGATTTTTAAACTATTACCGGTCACGCTGAATAATAATGACATCAGTGAATTTAAAGCTATCGTTAACATCACTCAGAAAATGCGCGTCTTTAGCGCGTGTCTTGTTGTTATGCATCAATCCTTCGGTAGATCGGCGAGATGCACCACTGTGCCTCACCGAGCTGCGAAGGATTGACATCGTGAATCAACCGTGGATTATACTTATAATAGTTCTTTAATGATTAAAATGGTACACCGCTAGCTTCCGCTAGGTAATAATGCTGCGCATAACAGACCCGCGCGCGATAAAGTTCCGCTAGCTCTCCGCTAGGCATCACTGGCGCTAGGATAAATCCTATCTGATTAAAATCGCAGAAATCGCCCTTCTGAACAGCCTCGGCATTTATATCGCCAAAACGACGTTCAGCGAGTTTCCATCACTTTTCCATCACATTCGCCATCATTTCTGCACTCACTTCAACTATCACATGAATGCCTCTCATTAATCTATCACTTCAAATCATTTCGCATCACTCGTAATCATTTTGATTAACTTCGCGATCATTTACGCAATCACTTTGCCATCATATCCGCATCAAAAATCAGTGCGCATTGAGCATTGAGGTCACTTTGCCATCACTTTTGAATCACCTCCATCACTTCGCCACTTTGCGCGCACTTCTTGGACAAACTAAAATGCGTAACGTATTTAGACTGACCAGTGAAAATGGGCGAGCGTACCAAGTGTCATTTTAATTAGAAGTTTTAGTCAGTGATTTATTATTGAAGCTTGTAATTACAATATCTAATGCTCCTATAAATACTTTAATTAATTGTTTGTCCCGTTATTCTTTTTCCTTCCTCTTTTCCTTGTCATCCCCTTATGTTTTAAGATTCTTGCTATAAATGGCTACAGCTAACACTATTAATGCTAAGTACCAAACAACAAGTGGGAGGTGGATCGTTGGTACCATTAAATCGATTTAACACCGCAATTCCAGTCGCAAGCCTGGGACCACTACTAGCATAGTCACAACATCTACAAAGCTGCCATATAGCCTGACTGACAATTTTCTCGACTGACTGACAATGTTTCTTCTTTTTCCCCATTTAGAATACAAAGATTAGTACATTTTAGCTGATGATTAATATTATATTTTTACCTATAGTTTACTTAGAGTACTACATACAGGGCCGAATACGACAGGGTGGGCGCCCGGGCGCGGCATGCATGCAATGGCATGCATGCAAGGCCGCCGCGCGCGCGGCGCGGCTGATCAATGTCAATGAACTTGACGTTCGGCGATCGCTCCTTCCGTTATGGCGGCAACATTAAGATTAAATTTAAATCCAATACTGTCTTATACAGCCTGTATAACATCAGATAAGGGATCAGATTTTCTTGGCCTATTTCCTTAGTATTAATTGCAAGAGAGAAACTATACGAGTGGTTTACGGATTTTCTACTTGATTTTCGGACTATGAATTTTTTAGCAACGCTGATCTAACATGATTATTTCACTGTAATATAGATCTATTTTTTGTTGATCTATTTTTTGTTGATCAGAGATCAACCAGATCTCATAGTTAAGTGGTACCACTTTCACATTCAAGTCTCATACATGCAACAAAAGTCTACAGTTTAACCTGTGGACAAGGTGTGACGGCAGAAAGTTAAAGATGGGTGTTTTGACGAGGACGTATGTTTTGACGATCAAGAATGGACATGGGAAAAACAAACAGAAAAGATGACAAACTTTATAGGAAGATGATCGAGGATGTTTGAACCACTTTTATTGTGAGACGCTATTCTAATCACCACATTTTATATAGCTGTCTTACTTGTACAAACCAAAACTCAAATCAAGTAAACTACTTAAAACAAGTGTTCGCACTTAAAACAAGTGGAGCCTGATACGGGACAGATTCTGGACCCAATAGAGAAAGGCCCACATGTAAAGGGTCGATGTTTTTTATAGAAGCTGGGAAATCTATCCGGGTTGAATCTGTATGGCCATGGTCCTGCAAGACGTGTCAATGAACGTGAAGTAAGATGGGATGCGCGAAGGCCCGGGTTACAACTTCTCTTATATTAGGATGCAATGAAACTACCGGGCCACGATGTATGGGGACTTGCCACCCCATGGCAACATTAAAATATATCGACTCTGTTACATCATTTCCTCCAATTATATGAAAGTTTTCTTTATTGGGAGTCACATCAACATACTTACAATGTCTCCTACATCCCTAAGTAGTCACTATATAGTATATAAACCATAATTAACTATCATTTCAGTGTACATCAAAACTTATCTGGGATCTGTTTTAGGTTTTTAAGTTTTATATCACATACGACCTCGGGTATTAAAATAAATAGATAATATGACTACATATTATAATCATGTTACATACATTTATAATTCCGTTATTTTAAAAAACGTTTTCCTCCCGCTTAAATGAAAGATCGTGTAGCTGTCTGATAACGTCTTTTAAAATGAGAAATAAAACGACCGTTATTTTATTAAAATTTTGAGTACAGTGTTCTATCTTATCTCTGAAAAGATAAAGAGGCCGATTTGACTCAATAAAGGTCAGTTCAGCCAATGAGAATTAAGAATTCAGTCACGTGATCTGAACGACCAATCAGGGATTTCTAGATAACAGAATAAGTTTCGATTTGTGAGAAGAGATAAGGCTTTGAATTTATTGATTTCTGAACATTTAGAATTAAGATTTATAAAGTCAGAGACTGAACTCAGTTTAACCAATTTTGAGTTGAAATCGATGAATTGTGTAATCAAAGAAATACGCAAACGTTTCATTAAAAAGATCAAATAAGGACCATAGGAACACAATTTAAATTAATAATAATAATAATAAACAATGTATATAGAAAACAAGAAAGAAAAAACACAACACATTATAAAAACAAGATCCAAGTTTCTTAACCGCAAATTTACAATATATCATTGCTTTCCACGCCCAATTTATTTGAGAAATCATAATATAGTATCTGCATTTTGAAATAAGTCATTAAATATAACAGATCTTGGGAAACAAAATTACCCAAATTAATAATTAATTTAAAATAGTTGTTATAATTCCTCAAAGATAAGAATCTCCTTCTTGCAGAACTTAATTTAATACTTAAAACCCCAAAATCAATAATAATAATAAAATTGTACCCAGCAATAATATCTCCTAATTTATCCAAACATATCCATACATAGGTTTTATTTTGGAGATACACTTTCGTGAACCATCGTTAAATGCCTCATTTATTGGGCCCTAATAATGCTGATGTAAATTGTGCTGTTAACACAATCTACCTAAAAACTTTCTTTCCCTCTCTATATCAAAACCTAATTATTAATTAGAAATCCTATTAATTTTTTAACATTTGACAATCAAAATTAAGATAAATGATCTTCGTGTCTTACTATTACCATAATAACTTACTTATAATTAAGTAAGTAAAACCTGGTGATCGTTAACATTATACTTCATTATCAAAATTCTCTAACCACTTTTCCTCTACATTTTTATTATGTTAACGATCCCCTAGACAAAAAACGATTGTCACTTTTTTATAACAGTCTTATAATAAAAGTCTTATAATAAAAGAAACCTCGGTCAAGAAGTTCGATCAAATTACAATCCTATCGCACTGCTTTTGAAGTGCTATTAGCCGGCGGGATTTTATCTACATGTCTTATCGTACGGCTCAATAAAAGGTATTTTAAAAACCTTCTACACAGCACTGCACGGTAATATGATATAAATTAGATTGGTGAAAGGGGGTTGATCGGTTGATACCTTACCAATTTCGATCGATTATAATGTCTGATGAAACAATAAATAAGTTATCATCGCCCTTCACAAATCGGTCATAGACTAGAAATACCATGTCAGAACCATATCATTTAACCATGTCACAAACATGGCATAACCATGGCATAACCATGTCATAACCATGTCATAACCATGTCTTAACCATGTCATAACCATGTCATAACCATTTCATAACCATGTTATAACCATGTCATAACCATGTCATAACCATGTCATAACCATGTCATAACCATGTCAGACACGGTTGTGACATGGTTAAGACATGGTTAAGACATGGGAAGTCTATGACCCACAATTCTATGCAATTTGAAAAACAATTTTACAACGTAAACTTTTTATAACATATTGAAAACATACTTTTGAACATCAAACTTCACACCAAATTTACACTAACAAACGTAGATTTAACAATAATCATAATCCCTAATTTAAATTAAAGTTTCCCTCACAAAATTAATTCCAATTACACCATTCAAGTTAAATATACTGCTCCTTCAAAACAATTTTATTAAATTTGTTTTACGATTAAGCATTAAGCATAAGGTCAATATTCAACGTAACATTGATGAATAATTTACATACTTGGTATTATGGTAAAGCAAAAAATTCCATTTAAAATGTATGATTAAAATTCTTGTGAAAAATCAACAATAGGACTTGGAAATAAAATCATCTAAAATACAAGAAAACGGCATAAAATCTGGACTGTGACAATGAATCATTTACAAAATTTGGACTGTGACAGTGAATCATTTTAAAAATCTGGACTGTGACAGTGAATCATTTTTAAAATTTGGACTGTGAAGTGTCAATCAACTGGAAAATAGATACATTGTGAATGAAGGAAGTATAAAAAGAACAGTTGCAATGTTTTGAAATCTCAAAATAAGGACTAAAAGAAGCACTAAATAACCGTTCTCTTAATAATATCTTAAAAAGACCACTGATTGTTGACTATTTATATATCATTATCATTTAATGAAGTCAGGATATTATCGAATTTTTGGAAACAATTTATAATCGAGAGTCGATAATCCCCAAAATACTTTTAACAAAGAATCTCTACGAACAATTTTACTACAACCATATAGTATATACTATATAACCCATTATTCTATTCACAGAAAGTCGAAAATTAAGTTATAATT